TTTTACTTAAGCAAGATTTTAAATGTAGGACTTTTACTTGTATTTGTATTTCTACATTGAGGATTCAGATTCTATGTCTTCCACCCCTATAACCTATGTAGGTGCATTTAAATACTGCACTTAGTATAGTTCTGAAGTACTTGTGCTTTACTTGAGTATTTCAGCTTGATGCTACTTTATAATTTTACTCCTGCTACATTTCAGAGGTGAACATTTCACTTTTTACTCCTGTTACATGTATTTGACTGTTATAGTTACTAGTAACTTTGTAGATTCAGATGTTAAAAATCTAGATAAATAAAACACAATGCATTGATTTAATAGTCAAATTTAGCTCCACCGCCAGCTACAACATTAAAACGCTGCTTGCATGTTAATGATTAGAGTAATCAAATAATACAACTTATCACTGACAGGACCCATTCTACCTGAATTGTACTTTAATTTTGATACTTGGAGAATATTTTGCTAATAACGCAGACATTTTACCCACAATGATTGTGGTATTACAGTTCAGTAAACATTGTAAACATTTCTTCGACCGCTGGTTTCAAGACGGGGTTGTGTTAGAAAAAGAGACGACTCATCTACTAAGAGGTGGCGGAAGTAGGACAAGACAGGCAGAGACGGGAGAGCGAAACTCACCAAGCAGGTTTTGCCATCCATGTTCACATTCTCCCCATTCTTGCTGAGCAACAATTTTTTTTTAACAATGATTCATTTGCTGTCATCTGGAACAAACTGTGCCCATAGACATCTCTTCCTGGGTATGGAGTATCACTCAGGCCACCTTATCAAGCCAGCCTCCTCTTCCCTCCCTCCTTTATATCTTTCTGATGAGTCTATCCTGGTATGTAACTTTGACCTATTTTAAACTTCATTCATAATAATTAGCCAGACATATTCTTTAACAACACAGACATGGTACGTNACACATACTCCTGCTGATGTGCTACACTGAGAGCTGCTCATCATAAGTCATTTGTTTTAGTGAAGATTACCAGTGGCTCACATGGCTCAGTGTAAAAGGAATGTGTTTTTAAATGGAAGTTTCATAACATTAAAAATCATATTAAATCTATGACATGAATTACTGCTTTAATATGATCTTATAATGAATTTGAGTTTCAAAAACTTGCCGAGGGAGCACTAAAGCTTCCTCTCCTTCAAACACACACACACACACCCCGTTTGAATCCTCAGTAATACCTCATTTATTACCTTATACAGTAATATAGCAGGCCCGTCCCACTCCACCCCTTTGTTTGTGATATGAGCTGTTGTCACTGTTGTTGTCGCAGCTGCTGTTGTTATAATTGCTGGTGCTGCTTTGCCTCCAGCTTCCCCGCTGAACTCAGACACCCCTGCCTCACACTTTTCAGTAACATGCAGTTGTGATGACAAGTACTAGAGTTCCCACTCAAGCTGCCTGTTCCTATAGTGCAGCAACCCACCCCTGCCCCCCACCCCCACCACCACCTCCTTCTCCACTTCCTCCTCTCTCTCGCTCTTTGAAGCCTTGTGGGATGATGATGACACCCGCCGTAATCGGTGGATGCTCCGCTTCTGACATGACACACAATCGAGAAACCCTTCCGAACTGATCCAGGTTTCATTGTTGCATTCAGGCACAGTGCGTCCTCTGACAAGTGGAAAGGCCTATCACAGGAGAATAGAGGAAGTCAGTGAGGTGGGGCCTTGATTGACAGCCCTGTTGAGAAAGCAGAGCCAGCTCCTGTTCCTATCTGATCTCTCAGCACTAGTGCACGTTTGTTCCGCTGACCTGCTTTTTTTTGGTCTTTTTAAATGAAACCATTTCTAATCTTCAGAGGGGGGAAAAGATTAGTCCATTTGTGTTTGTGTAGTTTTGCTTCCAAGGCAGATTTGGGTTTGAGGGGATGTAGGTGGGGATGGTAACCAGGCTTCAGAGGCAGTAATGGAAAGTGACTTGGTACATTTACTGTACTAAGTACTGCAATTTATTATAATTTTGAGGTACTTGTTCTTTACCTAATTATTTCCATTTTGTCCTACCTTATATTTCTACTCCACTGCATGTCAGAGTGAAATAATGTACTTCTTACTGCGTTTATTTGAGCTCGTTACAGTGAACCTTGAGTGGGTGCAACATTAAAATGCTGCTAAATGCAGTAGTTATAACCCAATAATATTTCATATAATTCTCTAACACTGACAGGAACTATTCTGCTGTATTTAAAGTTCTCATTTAAGCACATTTACCTGATAATACTTCTGTGCTTTTACTTAAGCAAGATTTTAAATGTAGGACTTTTACTTGTATTTGTATTTCTACATTGAGGATTCAGATTCTATGTCTTCCACCCCTATAACCTATGTAGGTGCATTTAAATACTGCACTTAGTATAGTTCTGAAGTACTTGTGCTTTACTTGAGTATTTCAGCTTGATGCTACTTTATAATTTTACTCCTGCTACATTTCAGAGGTGAACATTTCACTTTTTACTCCTGTTACATGTATTTGACTGTTATAGTTACTAGTAACTTTGTAGATTCAGATGTTAAAAATCTAGATAAATAAAACACAATGCATTGATTTAATAGTCAAATTTAGCTCCACCGCCAGCTACAACATTAAAACGCTGCTTGCATGTTAATGATTAGAGTAATCAAATAATACAACTTATCACTGACAGGACCCATTCTACCTGAATTGTACTTTAATTTTGATACTTGGAGAATATTTTGCTAATAACGCAGACATTTTACCCACAATGATTGTGGTATTACAGTTCAGTAAACATTGTAAACATTTCTTCGACCGCTGGTTTCAAGACGGGGTTGTGTTAGAAAAAGAGACGACTCATCTACTAAGAGGTGGCGGAAGTAGGACAAGACAGGCAGAGACGGGAGAGCGAAACTCACCAAGCAGGTTTTGCCATCCATGTTCACATTCTCCCCATTCTTGCTGAGCAACAATTTTTTTTTAACAATGATTCATTTGCTGTCATCTGGAACAAACTGTGCCCATAGACATCTCTTCCTGGGTATGGAGTATCACTCAGGCCACCTTATCAAGCCAGCCTCCTCTTCCCTCCCTCCTTTATATCTTTCTGATGAGTCTATCCTGGTATGTAACTTTGACCTATTTTAAACTTCATTCATAATAATTAGCCAGACATATTCTTTAACAACACAGACATGGTACGTTTTTTTTTTGTTTATGGCAACACAGTGCAAAACATGTTGTATAGTTTCAGTCTGACCAGAAGTGTTTACTGAAGCTCAGATTTCAAACTGAGCACTTCCACCATGGCGTATTACTGTTAGGCTATTTCTGATGCGGGGTGGGGGGGGTGGGGGGATGCGGGTGTCCCCCTGTTTACCAGCTGCTATAGTTAGAGGAGTGGAGGGAAATCAGCTATCCACCATCACTGCTGGGAAGTGGCTGGTGCAACAATTTGGTTTTAAGTGTAATATTGTCAGTACTGCAGCTTGCTTAGACTAGTTAGCCCAAGGGGAAATAACCAGTCCAGTAGTTTTTCTGTAGAGACGTATGTGAAACTCAGTAAAGAGTGAACTTGTACTTTCATGACATCTTCATTCCCAATTTTATCTCATAATAAGGAAATAGCAATGAGGACATATGTTTTGGAGATGCTCATTGATGTGGCAGCAGATACTTCACTATTTCACTACTAATTCAGGACATCTTGAATTATTGATACGATGTTTTCCATTTTTACTCTTATATGTGCTGAATATCAATGGACCTCTTGGTGTATTTTCATATAACATTCATAAAAATGAACGGAAAACAGGACAAACGATACAGGGAACAACGCAAAACCCATTTAAGGGGGACCAGTAACATAGTAGTAGAATTATTGAATTACTGTACTTAAATGCAATTTTGAGGTACTGTATTTCCATTTTATGTCACTCTGTAGGCTACGTCTCCTCCATGACACTTCAGAGGTAAACACTCTGCTTTTTAGCTCCCTGATGACTAGAAAAAAAAAAACTACAATATTGAAAATCAGGATGACAATATCATGGATAGATTGTTAACATACATGAAGATAATGGATCTGGGAGGACGTCAAATAACTTCCAGGTGCCGCCAAACTGATCAAACATGAGCCACAAAGAGGTTACAATCTCTTAGGCTTATATTATATAAATTAGAGAAAAGTGCAGAAGATGAATTCACTTCTGTGGCAGAGATGATACTTTCCCAAACCACTAATCATTTCATAACCCCCCAGATTTATCTTGTCACAGCCTGGTTAGGACCCACTGGACTAATATACCTACTATAACTGTATATGAAGTAGTTAAAACTACATCCACCTCAACCAGCTACAACAGTAATGTATAATATCAGTCCTTGATCACCAGGGGCCATTTGTTTCTGCAGAACTAATACTTTTACTTTTGATTGGCTACTTTAAGTAAATTCAACATCTGTGGTTTTCCCCAAGAATATTCTGAACACAGGTAATGGGAGTGTTTTTAAATCAGTGCGTTCGGCTACTTTTACCACAATGCTTCTTCCAGCGCAGGGGGTGACACACTGAAAGTCAATCTAGTGTATTAATTCAATCAACAATTATTCAAAAGCTTGAGAGCTCGACCACGTGTTGCGCTTGTTTTCTGTATGTGAGGGAGACAAGAGTGGCCTCCTCATTGGTCCAACATCGACGTGTCCCGCCTCGCAAACGCTTACGGCCATCTGATTGGCTTCGGTGGAAGCTCGAGCAGTGGGCTGATGGCTTGTACTATGAATATTCATGACACCGGTCTGCTCGGTGGGGCCTCACCCTTCGTGTTTCTCTGCCTGGCTCACTGGAACAGAATGGGATGTGGTGATGCAATGCCAGTCATCTCTTTCACCGGAAGACAACACATAGTACAGATTTACAGGACAGCACATTGCGCGTTAAGTGATATCTGAGATGGGACAGTATGAAGAGGTGTACTGGCAGCTGTTGTGCGTAATTACGCGCGGTAAGGCATTGGGGGTTTTCATCTTAAAATTGATAGGAGAGGTGTGGATTTGGAGTCTTTCTGTTTTGGAGTTGCGTCTATCCTAACTGCCAATTTGAAGCCACTCCCCTTCAGAAAATGTGCCAAACCTCTCTGCTCAGCTGTGTGCTACTTCAGGTCATTTGGGTCCGGTTACAACTGCAGTGGGAGAACCTGACAAACAGGTCGTGGATCCGCCTTTAAAGATCGAAACCGCAGGCATCTCTATATAAAGGCGCACCCGTCTTCCCACAAATTAGAAACAACGAGAAGGGCGCAAACACTCATCAAGGGGAAAACTCAAGAACCGTGCCCAACTAACTACCGGCACAGCTCGCCTGATTTACAAGACAGCCAATCCCCGTCGCAGCATTACAGACAAGCAGCCGCTTCTTTAAGCCGATCAGCCCAGAATTAAAGCAGGACACTCGCGGAGGAGAGTAAACAAGACAAGAGACTCGGATCTTCGCTTTCACATCTGCTCCTGAAGGAAGAAAAACAAAACTCTCGTCAAGATGATGATGCAGCTGGCAGAAACCCCCAACCAGAAAAACTCCCTCTTCAATGCCATGAACCGCTTTATCGGCGCCGTGAACAACATGGACCAGACCATCATGCTGCCCAGCATGCTGCGGGACGTCCCGCTGGATGAGGACAGGGAGTTGAGCTCCCTGAAGTCGGACATGGACGAGGGGGACATGTACAGCTATTACCAGCTGCTCAAGTCCATCCGCAGGGACATCGAGTGGGGGGTCCGCTGCGCCGCAGCCGATGAGAGGCGCAAGGAGAGCATGAAGATCACCCGCATGAACTCATCCGCATCCACTTCCTCCTCCGCATCATCATCATCCTCATCATCATCATCATCTTCCGATGACGACGAAGAAGAGGACGAGGATTTGGAGAAGCAGTTCCAGTACCATCTGACCGGGCTGCAAGGGGTGCTGTCCAAGCTGACACAGCAGGCCAACTGTCTCACCAAGCGCTACAAACAGGAGATTGGCATCGGAGGATGGGGCCAGTAGGTCGCAGCCCACGGAAACTGAAATGCCAGATTATTCTTTTTTTTTTCCTGGACTGGCTAAAACTGACTTGTCAATAGGCCTCATTGCTGCTGCTGTGACTACTGATGAAATTTCTGAACAAATATTTGAATGGTAGAGAAAAGGCAGCTTATTTCTGTCTATAGGCCTACATGGTGTTGGTCTACTCTGTGGTATTGACTGTAGATGTGTTGATCTTGAAGAAAGCATTTGTGTACTTAACACCAAACCCATATATTTTGCACTCCAGAGTGTTGTACACATCATGCATTCAGTTCCTGTGATGCGCAGATGAAACATATTTAAACAATTATTTAATGTATAATTTATTACCTCACACTATAACATGCTATATGCTATGTTTGAGAGCCAAATGTTATTTCAAAGTTGGAGAGGAAGTGGACTGTATGAACGTTGTTTGAATACTGACATCTTGGATACTGGCAAACGATTCAGCGTCCTCTCTGTGATGCTGATGATGTTAGTGTGTTCAGATGTATTTGTATGTGTATGACCAGTACTCCTTCAATATCCGATGTGTCTGTGTCTTTAAGTTGTGCTTTGCATGGAAGGAGGCATATGCTTACTGCAGCTGCCTGTGATCTCCTAATGTCCTACATGGTCAATGAACTGGAATCAACTGATAATTCTTCTGCACAGAGAATAATGATGGTTTCCATGAGATGCATTGTTGCTATTGTCATTTATTTGCTATAATTGAGGTATTACTGGAGATGTCCATCTGTCAAAATAAGCAAATGCTTTTCTATGCACCATTTTTGTATTGATAATATTTGTTTCTAAAAATAAAGCTTTTATATAAATGTACTCAATTTGTTGTGTATGATTTGTTTCATGAATGGAGTTACACTTAACAGCACAAAAATTGAATTAGGCCTACACAGTAGAACAAAAAATGTGTTTAAATCAGGCTTCTGCTTGTCTGTATTCACCATGCATGCAGAGTTACTAAAGGGAAGACCTGCCATTCAGCAGATTTGATTACCTCTAACCAAAAACCATTCTTTATATATGTTCGACAAAAAGCATGTTTTATACACCTTTAAGTATCTTTCTGTTTCTCCATTTAAAGTCTTTACATGTTTTTATTAATGCTAATGTTTCTTTAGGACCAAGTTTAATGATAGCGTTATTTTTTATCCATTGCCGACACAATCTGAGATATGGGCAGCACTTCAGAGATTTGGAAAGGACCAGGCTAGAACAGAACAAACTGACAAAATGTCAAACAAAACATAAAAGTATCAGGACAGAAACACTGTGTCTCTTCTTGGGAGTGTTTTCGGATCCATCTCCTCAGCTTTGAAAACAGGTGATGTAACAATTGCCGTAGCAGAGGAAGCACATAAACACTTGCAGAGTCATTCACAACTGTTGCTCTCTTCTTGTCAACTGGATGTTGTTCAAGAGTTTTGTTTCATTTCACCTCCAGACATTTAGTTTCAGAATGGGATTCTTTGATTTCTTTTTTTTGTTTTGTTTTTCTTTTTTGTATTATTTGTGTTTGAATGACATCCTGTTGAAGGAGAGAGACAGCTTATGACATTATTGTCTGTATTTCCTAAAACCAAAGTAAAGAGGGGGGGGGGCAGCACTCCAGAGGGCAAGAACAGCAAAAGAATCCCCTCATGTGTTGATCTTGTGGGTAATATGTAACAATATATACATCTTTACATCTGAAATAATACAGCGCAAAAAACATTTATTACACACACCATCATTTACATAGGTGTAGACATATTTAAAATTACCTACAGGTTGAGGAATGTTGTTTGTCAGTTTAGCTTCAGGTGGCAACACCTTGAACAAAGGAAAATGAAGGACTTTTAAGTAAAATAACATGTATAAGACTATTTATAACATGCATACCAAACCATTTTTTCTAATTTCTGTCCATGTAATTGTATCAAATGATTACAGTATTGTAGCTTTATTGCAGAATACAACACTTAAAACCCGAATGTATTGTTTGATTTTAATCAGCTCCACACAGTAAATATATATGCTTATATATATGACATGTATGTACTAGAATCAGTTAAGTTTGCTTTTTATTTGAACATTTCTATACATGGTAAAGAGAGCGCAAATGGAGACTTCTTCTGTTGTGTGCACACGTGTGTGTTCGTGTTGTTTTATGTAATATCTTTGGGGAAAATAAAGAAATAAAAGATTTCACTGTTGCCTGAGTAACTGACAGTGACAGCCTCAAAGGCCAATGGGTGCAGCTGGAGTTTCACTGTCACAATAGGTCAATAGAATGCAACACACCCACTTGCCACTTTCATTTGCTTTCTCTCACACATACATATGGATAAAATATAAAATAAAAAATGAAACACACAATGAGAAAAACATGAAAAGTGTCTTATAGGTAATATAAAATGTGTCTTTTTCTCAGTGGAAAGATGATAGCAGAGGAAATAGAAAGTCACTCTAAACCATTAATCTCAGTATATGACCCATAGTGGACATTTGACTATAGTAAATGCTTGATATTAGATAGCCTTACATCATACAAATGTGGGCTAGAACTGCATCACATATAACATTTTGTAAGGCTTCTTCAATTAGTTGCCATATGTTGAAAATATGGCATCCATTCTGTGAACAATTTTTCAGTTAATTCTCAATCCCAATAACCTTGAAAAATTAACAAAAGTTATTATAATATTTCCTTTTTCAGACTAATGTGGTCTTACAAACTGTCTGAAATCCAGAAGAAAAAGAAAACACAAAAGACAGCAGCACACCTTGAAGATTCTTTCTTTAATCTGATTCAGATTATTATAGACAGTGCAGCCAAACTGCTGTCCACATTTAGGACAAAGGTTACATGCCTTGCTGCATTTGACTGTAAATGAGGTTGGTGGTTTCTAAAACCATCCACTGAGATTATCTTATCATCAACCTTGAGGTGAATGCCAGAGGCTATTGCTAAACTGCTCTTACTATGTGTTTTACCAACTCAAACAGAGCTGCTGCCTTGAGTTGTCACAAGGCATTGTGTTAGTGTTTCCATTTTTGCAACGTTTGAGCAGCATATCACTAAAAGTTTAACTGATCCTATAGTACCACTATATAATCTTACCACTACAATATAGCCTTCCATAATAGGCTATATATATATATATTATATATATATATATATATATATATATATATATATAGCGGCTATATCACACATAATACCATGCCTCACAAACCTCTGGCTCTTCCACGACACTTCGACTCGAGCGGTGGGTGGTGCCTTTTGTCCCTCTGCGCGCACGGTAGATACAGGAAGTACGAAAAAAAGCTACAGCAAAACACAAACAAATTGAAGCGAAATTATCCCAAAATCAAAGTGAGTCAAAATGGACAGTCAAAATACAAAGTCACTGAGTAACGACTCACGCTGCGTATTTTTTAATACACATTCAGAAGACTATCGATGCGTAAGTAGCCAACGTCACTGTGTGCCCATTTTTAGCTTTATGGCTAATTAGCTGGTCAACTTCACAGTTCACTGTTAGCTCACTTCAGGGCTTTGTTAGCATTGGTAATTACTGACTTCACCTGATTGTTTGTTGATCGATCGATTGATTAGGCGATGCTGGGAGGCCTGACAGTTGCATCGTTCCCGGGGCTAAACTGTAACGGCACAGCAGTCAGTCATCTAACAATGCTAACTAGCTGCATTAATTGACTTGTTCAATATTTCTAACGTTATATTTTTGACGACGCTGCAGTTAGCTAACAGTTAACGAAAACTTTAATATCGAGCCAGCAATTTTCCGTCTGTTGATCCATGTATTGTTCCTTAAAGGTGTTGGACATCTTGGTTAAACCCTTAACACAGTTTGAAATCCACTTTCATAGCTATGAACCACTTTATTTATCAAATCACAAAAAAGTTAAATTCATTGCCCGACCAGGTCTAGATCAAAAACCACTATACTTAGACTTGTCAAATCTGGCCAACATTAACACGAGAACACGAGAATTGTGAAACCTTTATTCGATTTGTAAAAGCAAAAGAAAGTTCGATTCCACAGCTTTCTTCCCCATCTAGACCACATCATACTAGGTCTAGATGAAAAAACTATACTCGAACTTCTCAAATCTGGACTACATTGACTGAAGATAGTTTAAAAGATAGTTTTTTTCATTTCAGGTTTTTGATAGCCTTGTTCTTTCTGTGAAAACAAACAGAACTTCTTTCCATCTACACCACTTTGGATCAGGTCTAGGTAAAAAAAAAACCCACTGTATTTAGAGACATGTCACATCTGGATAAGATTGCCATAAAGACCCCATAGACTATTTTTGATTTGTCAAAAATAATGAAGTTATTCAAAGCTATTTAATCACCTATATTTGCACATGATGAATTATAAAAGAAAATGAAAGTTTGTACACTAAAAAAGAACCAATTCAGATACTGTGAGCAAAAAGACATTAAGTCAACTAAAAGTTTGTGACAATTTAAAGACAAATGAAGCCAGAAAATGTGGCATTTAATTTGATATTAAAATGGAAATTTGTTTATTTGTCAACACTAAAACCTATTAAATGATTAACTGCAGAACTCACTTTGCTGAAGATCATTTCTGAGAGTAAAGCTGCTGAGGTTTTATTCATGCAGCGCAATGTTTACACCTCTAAAAAAAAAAAAAAAAAAGCAGGAACACATAAAATGAGACATATGTCTATGTTTCTATTTCCTCAGTACATGCCGGGAGGGTTTCCAACACACCTGCCCCTTGTCCCTGCAATCACATGATCAGCACTCAGCCAGTAATATAATTGCTGGTCATGGTTTCAACTCCGCTTATTTTGCCTTTATCCAAGATTAACAAACAAATCCTTAAACTGTGTTCAAAGAACCAAATTAGCTGGATGAGAACTAACAGGATTAATTTAGCCTGATAACAGCATGTTAGCCGCAGGTAGTTAAACCACATGAGCATTCAGTCACAGGGCTGCGAGCATTCATTTGCAGCTTCATGTCTTTTAGCTATTGTTATTTATACTCAATGAAACAATTTTTTCATTCCTTCATGTTAAACAACACTATTTCAGGTTTAAGCCTCAGACATGTGGGTAGAGTCTGTTTGATGTGAATACAGATTTAGAGTTCTTTATCATGAAATGATAAGCGTGAACCTGTTTATCTAATTCAGATTATGTGAGGGAGGGATTTTTATACAGATGAAGACAATAACAGATGCAATTGTACAATATAACATCAGTGGTGAAAAGTAAAGCCCTCTAGACACTTGCACTGTAGCACTGGTCACTTTTACTGTTCTTGTTGTTGCTTTGGGAGGGATGAACACTTTTTGACAGCATGTAGCTTGGGTAAGTCACTTTGGACAAAAGCACCTGCCAAATGTGATGGCTTGCATTGTTTTATTGTTGTAATTGTTCCTGTTATTTTCTAAGAGTTTTACAGTGTAATGCAATCAAATGCAACAACACAAAGTGACTGAAAAGTTTCGCAAACTTAATTTTAAACGAGACTGCATTGAATTCATAGGTGGTTGAGTCCACACCTAGTGGATGTGTAAGAGATGATTGAGAAACATTTCAGTACTTCCCTTCTCTTCAGAATAACCTACAAGAAATACCCTGTTTGGATCAATTGCACCTTTTGTTGCTGAATCAAGGTTGTCATATGGCGGGCAGATTAGAGACCGAATCAGTGCTGTCTCTAGTGCAGTGAATGTGTTAATGTGAGTAGGTATATCTTTGCATGCCAGCAGCTTTAGGCTCGAAAGCTGCTCTTGGCTGTTCTCTTGGCCCAGCTATATCAGAGGAAGAATGCTGCAGCAATGTTGTTTTGCCTAGAGCCCAAATCTCTCCTGTACTGACAAGTAATCGCTCATAATTGCAAGCAATCGATCAGTGTACCGCACATTGTCTGACTAACCTAGATACAGGCGGACTACACTGACCCAGTCAGCTATCCCAGTTTGATTTTCGCATCACACTCCTAGTGAAAACTAAATACAAAATATTCATACATTCTATATTCTCCCATACTCTTTAGGATTGTGGCCTAAATACTAATGCATATTAATGCTCCTTAAGTGAAAATAAGAAAGTTAAGGGAGTTAATGCATCTAAATCTGGTGTGCTGCTGACATGATTGGAGCATCCTGTTTTCCTTGTCACTTCAGCAACACAGTCTCATGATTCATGTTCATAAATCTGGACTGAACACTCTAAGACCAAAATCTAATATTTATCTGCAATTAGAATGTATCTAGGTTTTCTTTTCGTTTTCTGGTGTTATTAGGAATTTTAGATCGGCATATTTCAATATTGCTAAATACCGCTAATGTATTATGTGTTGTAGATAGTGTGCAAAAATGGATTTTCCATTATGTTTGCCTTTTTTGCTTTAGAGAACAGAACAACAGAAAAATAATAATCAGAAGTATTTTGAATTAATTAATCAATCATTCACATCATTTTTTTTATTATGCCAACAGAAATGCCAAACATTTTAACTGTGAGGATTATTTGTTGTTACAAGCAATTTGATGATATCGTATTTAGCTTTTGGATATTGTGATGGTTATTTTTCATGAGTTTCTAAGATTTGAAAGCCAGAACGAGTCAAATCTTTATCATTTTTAATTAATACTGTAGTATAAGTCTGTCTTGACATGGTCATTACTCATTCTTTTGGATAAGAATCAAAGGGCAACTGATAATAATACTGTATATCTTGCCCAAGATAACAGTGTGATACAGATGTGTGTGTGACATGTGACATGAGGAGAAATCCCCTTTCCAAAAGTGACATAAACTTTTCAAAAGCCAAGATCACTCATGCAATATTTATGAAACAATTTTATGATGAAGTGCAAAGAGTTTGAGCCTTTTTAACACCCCTGCAGCTCCATGTAGGGAGCAATCATTCAAATGTAATTAAAACAGTAATAAACTGGTAAAAGGCCTCACAGGGAAAATGTCTGTGGAATATACCTCTTAGTAAATCAGACCTTTTCTGTCTGAGCAACGCAGTCAGAAATCTTACACCACTGCAAAAATAAAGCAGTATATAAAACTTGAAATCCACTTCCATGCATTTTGTCAAACATGACAATTGTCATGTTTCCTGGATCTTTTTATAGGCAGTAGATGTCCCTGTTGTTTACATAGGGCAGCACGTGGCATAGTGGTGTTTTTGCAGAGGTGATCAGTAGTTTATCGGACTAATCAGAGGTCATTCTTTGTTGTGGCTCCTCTGAGGTTTCAGGTGTATGACGTGTGTGAAAGGCCACAGCACTGATGTTGCACAGCCGATAGCATGGACATGACTTACTTTATTTTGCATGCAAGACTTCTGCTGGCTCCTTCATTTTCTATGAAACATATAGGACTGACTCATACACGTCTAATCCTTTGCATTCCTTCATTCTTTCACTTTTCCTTCTGGTTTCTCTCTCTGAGCAGCTCTCAGATCCATTTCAGGTTGGATGCAGCTTTGCACAAAATATGTTGAGAGTCAGGTTCTAGGCCTGTTGACACATCTGCCTACCTGTATTTCATTCCAACCAGCTGTCATTTAACACCACTCTGTGTTTTATAATGTGTTAATATGGGCCAAATGCATGTGGGGATGACATTCATTAACACCATAGATGTCTAAGGTGTCATTACATTGCAAATGTTTACGTTTCTGAAACTCTTTAAATGTATGCAAATTCTTTTTTATTACACTTCCTTTAACTGCACACATTCTTGCACGCATGCACACAAACATACAAAAGACACGTTTGAACAAATGGCAGCCTTGTCAACCCAGTAATTTCTAAGCTCTTGATTATAAAGATGACAATACAGTACGGAAAACAAAAACATTACAAAGAGTCAGTAATTCACAAGTCAACCTTGATATGTTGTTTTTATTATTTATGGAAATGAGTTGTGTTTGATTTACAGGTGGTGATTTTAACAGTGAAACGAGCCACAGGGACCTTCTCCTTAGCAGGATGGTAAATATTTCTTTCTCAAATCACACTTTGTTTTGGACCTTTGACTTTTATTTCACACCACAGCAGATTATGATGTAGGGATATATTGACATATTGTATATTTGACATGGTTCGGTATGATATGCCTGAGTATAAATTTTAGTGACGTTACATCTGTAAAGAGATCTTTACACCATTGTAATAGATTTTGGTGGTGAAGAGTTAATTATGATATTAAGCTGCGCAAACTAATGTGACTGTTGACAATAACCCTGTAATCAATACTACCTTTGTAAAACTTATAATACTCCTCTGTTGTTGAGGCTGTGTCTGAGTCTGCGGTTTGCCGTGTTGTATTGGCCACGCCTTGTACATTTATCCAATAAAGTAAAAAGTATTTGAAGTCTATACTGTTCATAAAAAGTGGTAGATGTAACTGCAGCAGTAGTGCTTAAGATTTGCGTTTGAAGTGTTGTTTTCTAATGAAACTAAATGATTTATCTCAAAGTTTCTCTAACCCAGGCCCACAGCTATAGACTATGGAATGACATGTCAGTTTAATTGAACAATAATTAAAAAAAAGACTCTCAACAAAGGAAATTTGAATGTTGGGACCTTACTGGTCTACTTGAAAACATTTATTTATAATTGGAAAGAAGTCCTTGGAGGTTTTTCCCATTGGTTTCAATAGTCAGTTTTAATTTTGGATGTGGCATCTAGTGGATATTTGAGAAACTGCATCTTTACACATTGGCCTCAATATTTTTCCGTGCTGGTTACGTACGCAATATACAGGTTTCATTAGTGTCGGTCTGAACAGGCATTGTTTTTTACGGTCAGTGATCTTATTACAAGCTAGAGAATATCAGGAGTTAGTAGAGGTGTAAAGAGAGCCTGCAGGGATTAGTTTTGTTTGTTTTGGAGTTGCTATGATGTATTTATATGCAGTAAGACCCTACATCAGCAGTAAAACACCCTGACCTGCTCAAGTTGTTGCCCCTGCAATTAGCAAGAAACATCTCATTGTCGTCTCTCCTCTCTCCTCAGTCTTTTCATGCTGTTTGTGATCTGGGTGCTCCGCAGATATCACTCTTTGGCTCAGGTAAATTTGTACACTACAACGTATGCAATGTTTTTATTCTTGTTTTGCATTTTGCTACCACTGGAAATATGTTCAGTAAGCCATGGTAAATAATGGAATAATTGAACCCAATTAAAATAAACAGATCGACTAATTGTGGAGTTAATTGACTCATAGTCGTCCTGTGATAATGACTGCTGTCCTTTGCTTTTTTTTGCTCTCCAAATGAAGGGGTTTGCATTATACTTTAGTTTTGAATATACACTGAAAAATATTAGTTAGATGTTGATTTTCTTCCGCTTAATATTTTTTCTTAGATACTACAATAAATATTTTTTTGTTCATGGTGTTGGATTGAGTGTGCAGCTTGTGGTCTCTGGAGCCAGTTGTTGTTTTTGAAACCAGTCCAGCAGGTCTGTCAGGTTTGTCAGCGCTACACAAAGTAAATGACAACTTAACGTGGGGCTCTGATGGATCCTGTTACATCTGGACCAGGTTGCATACAGTGGCCTCACCTCGTCCTGCTCTTCTTCCCTCATCCTCTTGCGCCACATAAACCCTCTCCTTACCACCAATATCCTCACAAAGGTTATCTGTCAGTCAATAGTCTTTAGTGCTCGCCGGCCCTGCCGCACTCTTCTGTCTCCTCCTCCTCTTCCTCCTCCTCCTCCCCCTGCTCTTCCTCTGTGGCCTTGGCAGGGTCATTGCTGACAAATTGATAAAAGGCTGTGTGTGTGTGTGTGTGTGTGTGTTCGTGTTCGTGTTGTTCGTGTGTGTGTGTGTGTGTGTGTGTGTGTGTGTATCCATGTCTGTCTCTTTATGTACCTACGATAGCCACGGTTTGTAACCACCTCTATAGGCATAGTCAGGTTAAGACTGACAGCTGGTATGCATAGCAAATATCCTTTTAAAATTCTTGAGCGCACAGATTATTGATTTATTTAATAAAAAACCTATTGAGTTCAGTTTGTATAAAAGGAATTAAGGAGACACTCTCCTCTGTGATATTTTCACAGAGTTGTCACCAGGGATGTCGTATGCCAAGCTGTCAGCCACATCAGTGATCATTTGATCTATAATTTGCCCTTCTCTCTAAGTGAATATAAATGCATTGGCATTTTTACTCGAGATTTTTTGTTAGAGAATCCGTTTTCACGTCTTTCTCTCATTTTCTTTGTACAGAAGATGATTCTCAGCCTGACTGTAGCCGCCTTTTTCGACAGCGTAGCATATGTCATGGTGAGCTCCTCTTGTCTGTTTCACTCAATGCACACATAGTGGCTTTTTTTCCTGAGGTTGGTGAAAGTGTGCTCTTCTTCCTTCATTCCCCAGGGTGAGTCCCATCCAGAGGGATCTCTTTGTGACTTCCAGGCCTGGTGGCTAACTTACTTTGGTAAGACAAAAACTTAATTAATCGCTCACTGGCACACTTTGCACACTTTGCACAACAGAGATGAGTAAGCCAGCAAGGGAAGAGCAGAGGTCCAATGAAGACATCTGTTGAAGAGCTCATATATCACAGTGAAAAATAATATTGCTTTGTCAGATCGTTTTTTGGCTTGGGAACAAAATGTGCCTCCACACTGATTATAACACCATCTTTCACCCAGAGCTTTTGGAAATGTAAGGTGAGGAGTTGTTTCCAGTGAGCTTTTAAAAAGTGACAAAATGATGTCTCGAAATACGTAATTGTTGCGTCACTGCTTTTGGTCAAAAAGCCTGCAAATGCCCAATATGTATAATGTAGGAAATGACTCACTATACCTGTAAAGCTTGCTGTAGACAGCTTTGACAAATGGTGTCCCCAAGTCTCAGGATGTCGGTACAAAGAAATACTGAGAAGGTTCAGAAACTGGTGACAGGTCCAGCTTTTTTTAAATTTTATTTTATTTAACACTGAGTTTCTTGTATTTCTCTCATGGTGTCAGTATAATTTAAATGTAAAGCCTCTTTTGTATGTATAGAAGGCAACCTCTTTGTTTTTACTTTTGTGGCTTACCCAGACGTTCTCAAAATGGAGGGGTGGATTTTGCCTTGCTGTTTGGATATACGCTCACTGTCAAGGCTGATAATGCACTGGTTAAACTTGTTCATCGTTTAGGAATATTCACACACCCATACTAAAAAATACCACACCCACAGCAAAGGTGTAACACTTGGGAGCCAAGCACCATGCCATGTAGTTACTGGGCCATTGCAACCATTCTTAGTACTGCCCTCAAGCCAGATGCCTTAGTATTTCATCACCGTCTCCTCTATGAGGAGATGATTTTCCTCCAATGACAAGACAGGACTCAAGCATTTCATTTCGGTTAATCAGGGCCATCTATAGACACTTAATCTAGAGAAAGTGGGAAGAGTTCTTTGTCATTTCGTACTGATGAGGCAGGATTCTTTTTACACTGAAAACCCTTGTTTTATTTTCATTGCATTGGCTGCAATTACAGCTCCTTTAGCCTTGATTAACATAAGGATTCTTAGTTAGAACTGGCTGCTAATACGACACTTCACCAAGCCTGTTTTCATCTCTGCTGTTTTTATCTCGCAGACAGACACACGTGCATGCACACGCACGCACGCACACACGCACACACACACACACACACACACACACACACACACACACACACACACACACACACTCTCAGACGGGTAGAGGGTAATGGGCAGTGAGTTAGTGCTGCAGGGTTTGTGCGTGTCACCTCGGTTTATCATGAGGATCCTCACGCTGAGGACAAACGGCTGTACATAAACACCGGCTGAACAGGCACTTTGTTCTGTTGCGAAGCGTCAGGTCTAGTGGGAGCTGCACAGCACAGCTCTGCTTTTAACTCCGACCAATAAAATTTTATGAAATGTGTTTGAAATAGAGCAAGATTGTAGCAGGGGCAGCGACAGGACAGGTGGTGTTTTCAAGTTTTCGAGCAAAGCTTCGGCTGCTGCCTGGTTATGTAAGACGGGTTCGCTATCACAGTGACAGTGATTTATTGTGATAATGACACAGACAGCCAGCCTCCTTCTTTCTTAGTCACTGCATGCTATTCCTAAAGGTTCCCTGAGTGTAAGAAGAGTGTGTGTGTGTGTTTTGTATGTTTGTGTGTGCAGGGTGTGTGGGGGGTGTGTTGTGTGAAACTGAGTAAGCTGAGTATGTGGCTCAGAGAATCCATCATTGTGACGACCGGCCCTGCCTGTCCTGTCAACAGCAGCTCACACACACACACACACACACACACACACACACACACACACACACACACACAGGGAAAGGACTGACTATGAGGGCAGAAAAAACAAACTGAGCTTTCTGGACTCTCTTCCTTGTCTCTGTAAAATACATTCATTTTTTTTACCCTCTGCTGACTGCGCCTTCCTTTCCCTTTCTTCATTTATTCTTTTCTTTTCAGTGTCTTTAGACTCTGGGATCTAGTCCACTCCATTTGACTCCACTCCCCCGCATCCCTGCACCTCACTCGCCTCCTCTTTTCCTCGCCCCCACTCCTGCGTTATCTCCCTCTGCTTTTCCACAGTTCATCATTATCCCTCTCCGAGCTCCCCCCTCTCATCCATCACCCTAAGCCACAGGTTTCCCTCATATTACTGCAGAATGGGCCTTCATTTATCAAAAATTGGGGCACATGCCGGCATGCGCGCGCACACACACACACACACACACACACACACACACACACACACACACACACACACAAACACACTCTCATACACACGTGTATGTTTGGACGCGGATTTGCAGGTGCATGCTGTGTGGCGGAGGGCAGTGTTGTAATTTGACCTTGTTGTTTGTTGTCCGTGTGTGTGTGTCTCTGCAGACTGGAGTGCCTTGGCCTGGGTTTGCCTCATCACTTTGAACCTGTACCTTAACCTGGTCCGAGAAATAAGCACCAACAGATATGAGATGTGAGTAGGAGACTTAGTGCTGCAACTGATAATTATTTTCCTTATCGATTGGTGGGTTTACTGATTATTTTCTTTCTTTTTTTAAATTTCTTTCAATGAGTCATGTGGTCTATAGAATATCAGGAAAAAGTGAAAAATGCATCAGCTAATTTCTAAGAGCCCATGGTGATGTCTTCAAACGTTGTATTCGTGGTATAATGTGTTTTTTTCCAGCCCACAGTCCAAAATGCAATGCCATTCAATTTACAGTGTTTTAAAACCGAGAAAAGAAACAAATCCCTCATTAGAGAAGCTGAAACCAAAGAATGATAGGCATTTTAGTTTTTTTTAATTACTTTAACGTTTAATCAGTTATTAATGAATCAATCAATGATTGCTGATTCTTTCTGTTGATCCACTAATCGACTAATTATTTAGACTCTTCGGAAACAGTCCATGCCTCATGTGCGCATGAAAGTCCTCCTCTGTCTCTATGTCTGCCTGTATGTCTTCCTTTCAATGTATATTTGTCTCTTGTTTTGTTGTGGCCGCTTCCCTCCGCATGTGTGTTTATGTGTGTGCATGTGTTTGGTCTGCCAGAGCATGTGTCTCCCTGCAGAGCATTGACAGCCCCCTCCTTCCTCCCCGTCCTCCTCCTCCTCCTTTTCTGTTCCAGCCAGCCGACGCTCTAATTGAAAAGGGAGTGGGTGTCAGCCGTTCAGTGTGTGTGTGTGTGTGTGTGTGTGTGTGTGGCCGTGCGTGTGTGTGTGTGTGTGTGTGTGTGTGGCCGTGCGTGTGTGTGGGCGCGCGCACGCATCTTCACGCTTTGCAGCACTATGTTTCTGTCGCTCAAACTCCCATGAGCACTCTCCACAGTGCAAGTGTGAATTTGCACACATTTGTGTGTGTGTGTGTGTGAGCGAGCTATTTTCTCATTTTCCATGCCTAGCACGGAGCTTTTTGACATAAACACACAATCTAAAAAAAATGTATGCACCCTGTGGGCGGGAAATAAAGGGGCAGCTTTAACAAGTTAGCGGTTCCTCTGTTTGCCAAGTGAAGTCCTGCCGATGTGCTCAGGTGTGTGCACTCCTCCACATACGTGTGCCAGGAGTTGGGCGGGGAAAAGGTAGATGCCACCCCGAACCCCCCACCACCCCCCACCATCCCCCACCATCATCCTTCCCATGGGAGTTTCCCTGCATTGATTAGCAATAAGCCAGACGATATAATGGTGCTATAACTCAGAAGAAGATGGCTTTATGGATGCAGAGAAGGGGGCAGGCTGGGGGACCAAAATCAGTTCACTTCAGAGTCTCATCAGCTGCTCACCGCTTCTCAGAGATCAAAGTGGGAGGTGGATGTGTGGCTGGTCACACATGACGTGAGAGAAAAAAAAACCCACAGCACTTAATAGGTTAGAGCGAAACGAAGACAAGGCGGGGGGGGGCTGTCGTGTATTGACTGCACATATAAGCTGTATGTGTTTAGGCAGGCTGGTATGTGGCTTTGCATGCATGCACAATTACCCCTCAGCCCCCCGAACTCAACCTCCCATCCTCTCTCTCTCTCACACACACACGCACGCGCGCACACACACACACAGTGACGGCACAGTGTGATGGTTTATGAATGAACAAATCGCCAGAGGACACGGAGAACGGAGACTGGATGATCTAAGAGTGATTGAAGTGGATGCAAGAGAGGATGGGAAGTGTGTTTAGCGCGTGTGTGTGCATGTATGTTTATGTGTGATTGAAGGACGGATTCAGGCAAACCGAATCCGGTGTGCGCTGAGGGCAGGGAGATAGCGGTGAAGCTGAAGATGGAGGGTGGGGAAAAAAAGAAGAAGTGGTGTGAGGCGGTGAGAAATGAGATTGAGCCTCGAGAGCGATTTCTGTGCGAGCTCGGATGTGCGCGTGCGCGTGTGTGTGCGCGCAGGTGTGTGGAATGCAGAGCACAGAGCGGTCCTGCTGTGCCTCATTAAGCCCATGTTGCGCGCAGCTCCGGACCTCGTCATCTCCCTCTCAAAGCGCTGTGAGTGTGTGGGGTATGTGCTGCAGTGTGTGTGTGTGTGTGCGTGCGCGCGCGTGTGTGTGTATGTGTGAGAGAGAGAGACGGTGTGCGTCTGTAGGTCTGTGAGCTCTCCACATTGATTTCCTGACAAGCCCCCCTCCCTGCACCAGTCGTCACGCCACGAAGTGGAAGCACTGATTTCACCATTTGTATCCCTCCTCCCACCATCACACAGACTCTCTCTCTCTCTCTCTCTCTCTCTCTCTCTCTCTCTCTCTTTGTGTCTCTTTCTCACTCTCCCTCCCTTGCTTTTCCCTTTTGCTCCCTTACACGCTTAGTTACTAGATGGCTTTCTCTTTTAGCGCTTCCACCATTTCCTTTTTCTCCCCTTTCTCCCTCCTTTTCCCCTCCTCTTGCACTCGCTCTTGTGTTCGATCAAAACACACTCTCTCTCCTTGGATCAGTACATTTCCTATGTCTCTTTACCACCCACTATTCTGTTCTATTTAAACCTCCAGCCATCTCTCTTTCTTCACCACCTCCCACACACTCGCTGCTCTCCATCAGATTGGGGCAGGGGGGTGGGGGGATACAGTGTGCCCCAATGAAGTAGAGTGAGAAAGTGTGTGTGTGTGTGT